GAAGACATCATTACTTGGAATTCTGCTTCTTCCTCCTCGAGAAGGATACATCTCTCTTCTAATCCATTGCCTTTGATTTTCGCTAACACCAGAGCCAACGGATTTCTGTTGACTTTCTTCAATCGTTGGTCGGACTGTTTGCTCTACTTTGTCATTTTTTCTTTTATTTTGGTTCTCGATCTTCTTCATTTGTTCTGTTCTGAAAGCTTTGGCGGCCGATTTATCGAACACTGCACTGAAAACGTGGGCATAATGATACATCTTCGTCTTTTTCTTTCTTTCTATTCAAAAATTCAATGAGAGAATCTCCTGATCGAGGATAAATCTCCTTTTCGAACTCTTTCTCGAATTCACTCAGGTCAAATTCCATGTCTTCTTCAGATACATCCATTCTGACATGCTTGGGATCGATGTCTTCAGTGACATCTACCATGCCTATAAAGGTTGAATTTATGAATCGGACATCATCAGTAATGCCCATTTGGGATTCGAGGTATCCTACTTGAGCCTCGAATGGACTCGTGTCAACTTTCATTGACATTTCTTCGAATCTCAATCTTCCTTGGTCGATTGCATCTTGGATTGTGTTCCTGAAATATATACAATTGTTAGTCCAATGTCCATAAACATTATGAAACTTGCAATATTTTCGACCATTCCTTTGTTCTGCAGACGGAAGTTTATGATCATCACTCAACTTAATCTGTTTGTCTTTCAATAAAATATCAAAGATTTTGTCTGCTTTTGTTACATCAAAAGTATATGTTCGATTAGCCATTTTGTCTTTCACTTCATTTTTTTGTAGCAGTTTACAAGTATATGGAGCCCCTACTTTGAGTTCTGCTATGTTTACTTTCTCATCGACAATTTCTTCAATATCATTTTCTGTCATATTGTTTGTCTCATATACATCATTTATGTATGTTATTCTTTCCTTTTTCAAAGGTTTCTCATATTTCTTATACCTTTGTTTCTCATACTCTATTTGTTCCACTCTTCTCACTTTATCAGCTAATTGAGTCATGTCATTCAATGGTAAATTGACTAGTTTTTTCCTAATCGAGAATTCTAAACCTGCAGAGGTCATTCTAACTAATTCATATTCAGGAATTTGAGTGAAGCATCTCGATTTCATTTGTCTAAATCGATTCAAATAATCATCTATGCTTTCATGATTGTATCTTTTTATATTCATCAAGTCGATGAGACTCACTTGAGTTTCTCCTCTAAAGAATTGCTCATGAAAATTTATTTCCAATTGTAACCAATTATATATCGAATTGGGTGGCAATGACGTGAACCAAGTAAAAGCATTCTTAGTCAAAGAACTGGGAAAATATTTCATTTTTAATTCTTCACTCATCGCTAAATCTCCACATTCGATTTGATATCGAGCCACATGCTCGATAGTTGATTCACCAACTTCTCCAGCAAATTTAGTAAATTTGGGTACTTTGTATCCTCGAGGCAATTCTGTCTCGAGAATCGCATTTGAAAAAGGAGATACAAAGTATGTCTGATTGGGTGGTCTTAATTCTATCCCTTGGAAATTCATCCTCTGTCCAAACACGTGATTATGTTGCATATTATTCTGATTGTGAATATTTTGAAATCCCTCATTCAAATTCCCATAAATATCATTCCTCACATGTTGATATTCATTCCCCATCTGCTGATATTGATCATTATTTCGATTTCTCCTTAATAAATAAGGGGGATTAGTGTTCTGATTAATATTCTGATTAGCATGATTCTCTAACCTCGTTTGTCGAGGTACAGCCAATGCGTCTCCGATTCGAGACATTTGATCTGCTAATATCTCGAAACTAGCAGTAGTATTTTGAACTAATGGATTTAAGACCGTAGTCAACTGTTGTGATAACATATTCACCATTTCAAAATTACTCTCATCCATTTGTTGTCTAAGTATTCCTAGGGAGTTACTGGAAATTCCAGTATTAATATTTTCGATATTCTCGAAATTAGATCGATGATAGTCCCTATCAAATGTATACCTCCCATGATCGAGATTCCCCCTAGAATCTAGATTTAAAGGTGTCTGTTGTATACCTAAGTTTTGTCCACTCCCTGAGTTTTGTGATGTCACTAAATTTTGAGACGCCCCTAAATGTGAAGATACTCCAAAGTTTTGTGGCATGCCTAGGGTTTGAAATGTACCTACGTTTGGAGGCATTCCTAAGCTATATCGCGAATTTCTATGTATCGATGAAGCGCCAGCTCCGTTCATGTTATTGGGTGAAAAACCAGGTGGTCTTACACTCGTATATGGCCCTGCATATGTGGTTATGGGGTTTCCCATAGTTTGCATATTGTTTGGTATTGCCATACTAGATCCTACCTGAGTATTAGCTAATGTGTTTGAATTTTGTTCATTACTCGCTGGTATCGACATGCTCACAGTTGTCGATATTACAGGCACACTCACATTGTGCCCTTGTCCCCCAGTATTTGGTGAGAGCACGCCACTTAGACCCTCATTGTTACCTTGATTACTGGATGAATTCTGACTCATTCTTATAACTCTCCCACTTCTTAATCTCATACACTCTCGAACTAACCACTTTTGTGTTTTTTCAACACAAGATCCCCTACCTGGCGCGCCAACTTGTTTCTGGTGGAATTTCGATCGATCTCGATTCTAAGAGTGTTTTGGTCCTAATCAAAATTCTACCACGCAAGTTCTTTTTACTTGGGCTAGCAGTTTGATTTTCAATCGAAAACATGTATGAGAATCGAAAATTACAAGATGTCGAGAAAAATGTTTTTGGTATTTTGTATTTAAAGTATTGGAAAGCAATAAAACTATCGAATCGAAAAGTAAAACGTTAAATTGTAAGGAAATGTAAAGTGCGAAAACCCCAAATTTGCATTAATTGGAAACGAGATTGCAAGAAAAGTAAATGACAGGGAATTGGAAACAGCGAAAATGTAAATGGCAGAAAATTAAGTTTGCATGAAAAACTAAATGACAAGAAATCGAAATGTGCAGGAAATTTAAATGACTAGAAACTTAAACGCAGAAACTAAAACTTTCATTGAATTGAAATGACTATGAATCAAAAGTACAGAAACATGAAATTGCTGAATGTAAATGCATCAAAGTAAATTACCAAGGAAAATACAGAAAACGATAAATGTACTCAGTGAGCGTGGAAATCCAGATTGCCAGAACCTTCATGGTGTTCGTCATTCTCCGGTAGACTTTCTCACTACTGATTCTATTCTCTGCCAATTTCTCGCTCCCCTGTTTCTCCCTTCTTTGCTCTATTTATAGGGTGTCACTCAAGACTTCCAGGAGCAGTTAACAAGACTGATACCACGTTCTACGTGCATAAGGCAGTTCCCTTTTTACGGTTTCCCACGTTCTCACGATCTTCGACTCTTCCATAGCTTAGAAACTGTTTTCTATACGTGCGTTTTAACTATTTCCCTTCAAGGTTTAGCCGAGGTTACGATATCTATAAAAACGAGTCTTCCCTTCGATTTTATCGAGAACTTTGCATACCTGGTATCGATTCATTTTAACCTTAACGTCATATACCTCAAATTCTTTGGTTTGTTCCATGTTAAGTTTTTGACTATTACTCCTACTCTTCCGATTCTACCTTTCGATTATGTGTCACGTCCTTTATAATCAGACATCGAGAAAAGTTCCCTTTCAATTTGTTTCTCGATCATACTTTTCGATTGCACACTAACAACATTATTATCAAATCAAATATAGCATTAATTTTTTGTGAAATAAAAAATATTCATTTGAATATTAAAAAGAAAACATGTGCGTACTTGTCATTGAAAGAAGGAACAATTACATTAAAATAACAATCGGCAGATAAAGCCTTGAATAGCGTGTTCCCTTTCTTGCATTCTATTACGTGAAGTTTCACGTGGCATGGATTAATTGGATTTTTTATTTTCTTTTTTAATCTTAGTTTAAGGTACACTACCCAATGACATAATATAATATATTTTATAGAATAATTTAAGGGTTATTTTAGATTGATGGAGGGTGAGCAACTCTAAAAATTATAGCAGAGTTGGTGGTTCTTCACTTACCCCAACTCAAAGGTCACCATAACTTCTACTACTTTCGAGATTGTTGTTTTTGGAAAAAAAAAAATGGTAGAGTGAAAACATACGAGGAAGAAAAGAAAAAATAAAGATATTTGGTTAAAGATAAATAAAGGAGAGATGAAGACAGAAAAAAAAAATACTAAGTATTATCTTCTCAACTCTCATTGAACATTACACCTCAATGCACAATTGATGTTATTAAAATTCTTAAACTAATATTAAGTACATGTGCAATAATTTGATTGGTCATCTTCTTTTTAGATTACTGAATGCTTCATAGTATTTTAAATATGGTATAAAAATGGTATTACATAATACTACTAATTGAAATGCTAGATTTTTTAAATGTCTATTTCATGGAACATCAAAAAATAAATGAAAACATGTAATCTGATACGAAACCAGTGACTTGTACTGGCCAAGGTGGATTTTTAGACAAGAAATTTGATGATAGAGGTTTGAAAATTGATGGAGGAATATGAAGTTTTATTGTTTTGATAATAGAGAATGAAAAAACACATTAAATTCATATATGTGAAATTTACAAATTCTGCATAATTTGCAGGTTTAATAAACAAGGGGCTCTCATTTATGGCTATATTGAATGAAGATAACATGTGAAGGTCTTGATAGGGGTGATTCACACAGTTCGGTGAATTTATGGAGGATGTATTTATTATGTTGGAAAATGATTGTTTGAATTGAAACTGCGTGTAAAAATATTATTCAAAATAATAAAAATATATGTACACCACATACACTCTTAAATTTGTAAAAATACATATGATTATGGTAGCAAAATACTCTTCAACTGCTTTTACTTTATTCCTGTTCTTCCTTTTGATTGTTTTGCTAAGTGTATTTTTGCTTGTATCAGACTCTCTGATTGTGATCACTTTGTTCTCTTAATTGAAATCTCCCAGAGCAGACTGTCAAATTAAAAAGCAGAAAATTAATTAACAGGCTAGATTTGTAGAAACTAAAAAAGAATAGAAAATGTTTCAAAGCTAGATATTGCGACTCTTCAAGAAAACCATGAACTTACCACATTAAGAAGCCTTAAAGCAGCAGTCCGAGTAAATTTTCTTGCAAAAAGGAAGCAAGTTGATGCTTTACCCTTGCTGCTGCACCATTCTCTTCTGTATTCGGTTTCATAATAAATATTATCTATTTCCTGCAAACAAATCATCAAACTTGCACACATTTTCTTTAATGGAAGTAGAGTAAATGCACTTTATATGTTTGTCTCAAACTGAGACTGTTATGTTGATGAGCAAAGCCTCTCTACTTTATAACTGAACTTTTCTGCCAGGTAGGCCATAAACTTTTTGAGTTTTATTGCACATTCAGCTCATTACCATAACTTCAACTACTGATAAATGGAAAATTGTTCAGTAATATATTGGAAAAGTTTTTTGGTTGTTGCAATTAAGTGCAATAAATGCAATGGAGATCTCACATTGATGAACACAAAAATTGATTGCTCGTTTATAAGGTATTGGTGGCTTCAATTACTAGGAATAAAAAATAATTTTCATTGTTCTTTTTGAGTTGGTGCATATGCTGATATGTTGCAGTATGTTTATTTAATAGTTTGAATTCATATTTAGGCTCCATCAGGGGGTTTCCTATTATTACCACCCATGATATCTTTCCAACAAATTAGTATTGAATGAGATAAAAACATTGAGAATGTCTTTAATCAGTGTTTAAAGTCAAAGGGGAGAAGAGTTATCCCTTTTAAGATGCATGAAAGAAACCATGAAATAGAAGTAGATTTAAGAGGCAGTGAAGATCAAACCTTAATAAATTTTAGAAGCATAGGTGTAGCATCTGAATACTTGTAAGTAACCGGATGCCAGCCCCGGCGCTCAAGATCCCTGGAGTTGGAAACATCCCAAGCAGTATGTGTCAAGGATCTTCGTGTGATTTCTGATTCAAGGCCCTTTTGCTAGATTTGGGAAGGCAAACACACAAATAATTGGAACTAACATAGTGATCACATTAAACTACTTGTAATGAAAAAAAAAGCCTTTGTCCCAGTAGTGTGTTGCTTTTTACTTATCTTCAAAATAAATTCAGTAATGCAAATTTGTTCGTAATTCAATTTTTGAAACATCTAGAAACAGTTACAGACAACCTTCATCCCAGTTTTTTGTCACTAAAATCATAAAAAAAAAAAAAAACAGATCCAAAAATGTATACAAAATTAGTTTCTCCTCAGCATAAATTGTTTTAGCATAATGTTGTTCAGCTGAAAGTGTGATTGACACTGGTATATAGGATATATGATAAATACTGTAATTTTTAAGTGGTGAATCATGACAACATACACAGCATCTCTATCTCTGATACATACAAAGCCTGTTTTCGACTTACATACACCCAGACATAGAAAGAGTTGAAGGTGGGAAAAGCATAGGTCCTTACAGCCAGTAATGTCTGAACATAGTGTTCATCTGGTATACAGTTATGGACCTTAGATGTGTCAGCAGGCTGCATGAAGGAAGAAACTATAATTAGAAGTTGTTAATTCACGTCAGTTCAAAATCAAATATTGAGTTATTTCATGACATTGGATGAGCAGAAAATGATTTCAATAAAGATAAAGGAGACTGATTGAAGATAGTATAGTAAAAGTGAACATCTTTAAATAATTTTTACATGTATAAATTTCATCTAGAACACTTACAATGTAATGGTCCCTCCAAAATTCTGGTAGTGGCTTTTTCTGCATTATTAAATTCATAGGAAAGAAAAATGAAAAATAAGGCTGTCAGAATTATAAGAGACAAAATAGATGACTGACTTAAATACTAAAAAGAAGATCAGTGACCACAACATGCATGAAAGCCAGCAATGAGTTTATAACATTTAATGATCAACAATGTGCAGAAACCCTGAGGATGAAAAAGAAAGAACAAAGATAGAAAAGTACTACTTCCTAGTCCCTACACCTCATTGATATGCAAACTTTCTACGTCTAAGAGTCCAAAGAAAGTCTTCAACATAAAAGGCAGGCTATAAAGGACCATGTTATTTATTAGAAAGTGAATATCTATCTAACTTAACCCTACAAAGCAAAACGATCACTTGTTACCTTGCAATATTTTTGAAACATTGGAAAGACAGTTTCATCCTCCACTACAATCTTGGCATGCTTTCTGGTCAGCACAGCCCACTGCAGGAGAATACATACAAGACAAGAATAAGATGGTATTATTTATATGGTAATGCAAATGATGTATTTTAAAGTTTCCGAATGAACTTAAAACAAACTAAGAACTACATTAGATCTTTACCTGAGATCCTTTCCTCCAGTTATAGACAGGAATAACAGGATCCATTTTTGGATTATAACGACCTTCTTTCGTGTCAGCAAAGCTACTCACATTTTAATGCAAAAAACAATTAAATTGTTGGCAAATAAATAACCAAGTTAAACCAAAAGTCCCCCTTTTTAGCAAATTTAACATCCCAAAAATTTGTAGTTTTGCGACAAACAATCAATGTCGCTTACTTCACTTAGTGTTATAATTGAAAACAGAAATTGAAATTTCAGTTTTAAGTCATCGAATGGTAAAAAACTGAAAGAAAAAAAAAAAAAAGGTAACAATACAAGACCAGTGTGCTGAAGCATAAGGCAAGTGTGTATCTTCACCTGTCGACAAAACTAGTTGATGCTGACATGATGTAATCATACACATAGCTGAAGTTGTACAGAGGAATACAGCTGAAAAGAAATCAATCAACTGAAATGTAGTAAGAAAATCATACTTTAAAAACAAGTGGTGAGTAGTTACAGTATAAGTCCAGAAAGTGATAAGTAAAAGTATAAAAAACTTTACAGCTGTTAACAAATTCATACCCTCACCTATCTGAGAGGAAAACAAAGCGATCATTTAAAGGATCACTAAGCGCATGTCTAAGCAAAATGCGCTCGGCCTGTATCATGCTTGCTTCTCCCCACTCAACCTGGAAATAGATCACATGAACTAATAAATACCATGAAGCTGATATACATAACAAAATGGGATATAGCACCATTTTTAGCACTATTTTCTGACAAATTTAGACGGTACAGTAGAATTCAATACTATAATTCAAAGTTTACTTTTAGAGAAACAACTGAAAACATGAGATACCTATAGTTTTTCAGACAAAATGGGATCCCAACTTTGGAACAACGAATTTTTGACATATTACAGACAATTGGGTAACACTGAATATAATAATTCAAAATTCACAAACAATTAAAAACATAAGACAGACTGGATTTTTCATTGATGCTTGGAAGTTTGTGACAAGAACTATATTCAATCAGGTTTTATAATAATAACTGCCCATGATTTGAGTGTAGCACAATAAAATGCAACATTCAAATCAAAATATTCAATATGTTTCCCAGATTTGGTGGTTAAAACATGCACTTAATTGCAATTATAGAATGGCCATGATCAATCTTTATAGTTGGGAACAATAAGTTTACCTACTCAACCATAGAACAGAAGGAATGGTTGCTGTATATGAATCCTTTTAATTTAAACCATCATAATTCATCCTTGTGTTAAAGCTACAGTTGAGAGAGAAAGGGTATAAAGAACAAATACGTCTTTCTATCAGAGAGAAGACCTTTGTTTCAAGTAACTATTATTTGATAACAAATAGGCAGGTGAAAATAAGATCATCAAAGGCAGAACACAGTCTCCTACCGAAGTCTCAGAAAATAGTTGGAACAATCTTGAATTCACAAAAGGAAAATGTAGAAACTTCTCGATATGAACACCACATAATGGGAAGTGAATAATAAAGAAAATTAGATTCTGTTGGAAACAAAGAGAAGACTAACCTGTACGCTATTATTAACTTGTCGATTCAAAAAATAAGGTGATTTAGTTGTTGCCTTGTTGAGAACAAACCCTGGTCTGCAGTGAACAAAAATTGAGAATTTGCTAGCGCCTCCCTGAAGAAATAGCACACATGTTTCTCTAAGCATGAAGCACCGATTGCTTTTCAAAACATGAAAAGGAAGATCTACAAATATACATCCATTATGAACACTTATAAATCAGGAGGGTCTATTAGCATCACGCAGACCTGCATTATTGAAGTGTTGTAATGACCAGAAAGAAAAATAACCTGCACTACTTAAATAAAATTAATATTTACAAAAAAAAAAAAAACTCACCTTTAGTATCCCAATATATTGCCACCACTCTAATCAAAGATCATGAAATGCATCTCATGCTTTGACACAGATTATTGAACCATTAAAGACACCATCTTATATTGTCAAAAGGTTCCAAAAGGTTATAGTTAATCATTAAAATATGAAACTAACTACAATGCCTCACACTTTAGCCTCTAAACCTCCAATCACTTAAAAGCTCTCCGCCCTATCATACAAAGATTTGAATATAATTTCTTTACACTATACATTAACCATAAATAAGAAGTGATCATCCATATCACTCTTCAATGGTTATTCTAAAAATCAACAATTTTCTTATGGGCATGTGATAAAGAAAAAAAAGAAAAAAAAAATCAATACTACTTTATTTTATAGAGAAAGCCACAAATATAAGTTCAAATGTAAAGAAACCTTATTTTTCTTCCTAAATTTGGGATCAACCCGTTAAGGAACGACAAATATAATAATAAACACCTCGCTGCATAAAATTTGTGCAAACTGATTTCGAAGATGATGACAAATTATAGTAGCTTGATTCAATCCAAAACATAAAATGGCCATGTAAAGACTCTTTGCATTCTTATTATTGACAAAAATAAAGAGAAATATAAAAGAATATCACTTACTAATATTGAAAGGAGATGAAAAGCTCATCTAAATCTGTATAAATATTGATATCAAATAACTAGACTCATTTGTGCTTATCTACTGAAAAATAACAAACTTGACATTTGTAAAATAGTAGTTACCCTATTTATTTCAATGATATGGAGATCAATAACAACTAAAAGAGAAAAGAGGGTACCCTAAAGAATGCATCCCAAACTATTTCCAAAGGTAGCCTGTTCCGTGAAATGAAGAGAAACGCAATCTTGGGGCTCTGAACCTCAGGCTCATAAACAAAATGGCGTTGCAATGAAAGCAACCCCGCAACATGATTGTAGCGTGTCTGCATAAACAAGAAGCTCCCAAAACAAAACACCACCAAAATCAAAGCAAAAAGCTTCTTCTTCCACCTGTTCTGAATCACCTTCCGCTTCATATTCTATCCTCACCCCTTTTATCAGCTAAAAAGGACCCACCATCTCACACTCATTCAGCAGCTGAATCACAACATGAAAAACGAAACGTTGACCTTCACTTGGACCTTGCAGGACTCAAAACCAGAAGATCCAACCAGATCCATGGCGACCCAATAATCACAGAACCCAGAAAGGAGAAACTTGACCAAGCTCGTGGGAAAAAGGAAAAAAACTACACCGACCCAGAAAGCAATACAAAGCAACTAGAGTAGGAAAAAACATAAGCAAGGTGCTTGTGAGGCTATGAGCAAAAAGCTTATAGATTCTCTCTCCCGTGAGTTGTCATTTGGAAATGAAACTTGGATATGAAGACTATTGTTGGTTAATGGAGTGTGTGATAAGACTTAAGAGTGCAAAGTTTGTTGGTTAATCGTATTAATAATATTAATAATTAATAATTTGGGTGTGGAAAAGTGAAGAGTGTCTCCTTCTAGAGTAGTAAAGGTGCTACTTCTTTTTCAAGTTGCGTGTGAATCTGGAGAACAGAAAACTACGATTGGGAGAGTTCTGTGAAAAAAACACACAAAACCAAAACTCTTGTAATGTCGAAGCCTTTCAGTCTCTGTTTCTATTTTTGGTTTCTCAAAAAGGAGGATTTTGCTGATATGGTTAAAACACATTCGTTAAGCAATTAATTACAGCTTTTTTAAATTAAAAAGACGTGTTAAAAATAAAATACTTTGAATGAATTAAAAATATTTTGAATGAAGAATATATGCACAAACCAATTCAATTTGAGAGGGCCAGGCTTACTAATTTTATAGAAGTATAGAAAATTATTTTAATATTTTCTTTACTTTCAATTTTTTTAAGTGCTTAATAGGCATGTAATAAATGTTTGTCACTATCAATAAACCATAAATTATTTAAAATATGCTTTTAAAAATAACTAATATAAAAATCAATAAATATGTGATCTATCATTTTATAAATAAAAGTTTATACAAGTTCTCTTTTAACAAGTTTGATGAGATCTATATATTCAATTAATGTTTTGAATACCATTTAATTTAGGAATTGCTACATAATTATTGATTTAAATATGTTTTTAGTATATAAATTGATGTATAATTATTGATTTAAATGTTATTATTATATGAATTGCTATATTTATGTTTCGTTTTAATTACGGCAAGTTTTGCTGTTTTATAATTGTTTTGTTTATAAATTCTTTTTAGATTAAATGTCAATTAATAGAAACAATATTTAAATTAAAATAGTAGAATTATTTTACGTGCAATCTAATCAAGTAATATATTTATTACTTAATACAAATAAAATAATTATATAGATTATTTTTACTTTTTCATCCAAAATGTTTACTTTATTTCACTTTAGAAAAATCAAATTCATTAAAAATAAATAGGATTCTTTTGTAAATAAGAAACAAATCATGAAAAATAATAATGTTTTTAAACTTAAAACTAAAATAACAATCCTTATCAACTGGTTAGATTAACCTCCCAATTTTGAAGTACAAGCCTGAGTTACGAGTGTTTATGTTCCACTAATCTTGCTTCATCTAAATTTAATTTTGGCATTTCAATTTTAGAATTTGAATTTTATTTATTTTAAAAATAATTTTAATTTACACGTTTACTCAATTCAATTCCAACTCAACTTAACGTTTTAAAATATTTTTGAAAGTATAAATTTTATCAATAATTAATAGTATTTCGAAATAATATAATATTATATAATACTATTATATAATATAATATAATATTAAATTATATCATGTTATATTGTATTGTATTATATTATATTATATTGTTTATTTAAGAATATATAATAAAATTTATTTTAATTACATATGTATTTTTTAAAATTCTGAAAATTATCTGTATATAATGTTATAATTGATGTAACATGTCAATAAATCGGTTAAACCTTATTTAATATATTATTGAATCTTAATCTTGATAAGTTTAAATTTAAATAAATAAATCTCAAAATTTTAAATTTTTATGTAAAATAAAATCCTAATATACATAAAGAAGGAAGAAAGAAAAATAATATATTTATATTACTTATATTTCACTAAATAATATATCTATTTATAAGTACAAAAAATATTTAAATCATATAAATGATAATAAAAATTAATAAAGTCAATAAATAACTATGTACAGTTAATATTAATTCATAACTTTTTTTAGATAGAAGAATGTATCCATTAAATTCTTACTAACAAAAATCCTATGAGATAAAAATTTATAATATATTTTCAAAATATTTTCTTCCTTTCATATAAACTATTATTATTGAAATAATAAAAACTGATCTTCTGAACCTAAAAGTTATTCTTCACAAATATTTTGAAAATAAATATGTTAAGTTTCTCACAAACAAACATTTTATATCACACAGTTTATTTTTGTTTAAAGAACTATATTTTACTTTATTCCGTTTAACATATATTTCTTTCAAACAAATATAGTGTATATTTTCATACATAATGATTTGATAATACAATATTGCACAAATTGTCATAAAATTACAATATTATCCCTTTATTTATGATTGACTATTATAGGAAATAACTTGCATTTTTATAACTTATTAAATATAACTTTAAAATATTTGAATAAAAATAATCTTTTTTATTCAAATAATCTTAAACAAATAATTCAACAATATTAAAATGTTAATTATATGAAATATTATTTTGATCATAAGGATATAAATATTATTTTTTAATAAAAAAATATTTATTAATGCTTTTGTCACCAATAACATGATCATAATTCAAATCATCATTCTCATAAACAAAATTTATATGAACATAATAAAAATATCGTCTTATATGCAAATATATATATATATATATATATATATATATATATATATTTTTTTTAAGTGACTCCCTCATGAATAATTCAACCATATATTTTTAGTGAACAATAAGTAAGATAAGAATGACGGTATCACCATAGTAATAATTCATTTTATCTCGTTAGTTTTTGACTTTTTATTTTATTTTGTCTCACTTTCAACGATGTTTCTTAAAAATTCTTTTATAATAATTACATTCACGTTCAATTCCATAACTATAATTATAATTCGGAGTGTCAAAATAAGCTTAACCAATGAGTCGATCCAAGAAATATAGGTCAATTTTTTTTTTCTTAAATTGAATTAGACCTATTTTAACGTAGGCGACCTATATGGGCTTAAGCCAAGCTAATCCAGTAAACTTATGGGCCGACCTATTTTTATAGAATAATAACTATTTTTTAAATAAATATTAAAATAATATTATTTTATTAAATATATATATATATATATATATATATATATATATATATATATATATAAAGTAATTTAATAAGGGATTATTCCATGAGTAAATATCAAAATAAATATCTAACAATCACTTATTACAATATTTAATAATTAAGATTAATTATTATTTTTAATTAATAAATTACTAAAAAATAAATAATGATAATAAAGAGAAAGTTTGTTTTAGATTGATTGAATGTATTCTCTTATAATTTATATATTAATAATTATATCTTAAATAAAACTAATTTCATTCATAAAATTTAAACTTTCAAAAATATATTTTTTATTTTTATTTAATATTTTTTAATTAATTGATTTATATATATATATATATATATATATGTTAATATTTTAAAAAAATTCTATCGAGACAAAAATTGACTCGTTGATCCGTTGATCTAACATAAAGTCTAATTAGATTAAATTTTTTTATCTCTTTTAAAATATAGGTCAAGTTGAACCATTAATTTTTTTTACTTGACCTGTAGGATCATACCAAGTTGAGCTCAACAATTCGTTTTAATATCTCTAACCATAATAACAAAATTATGAATAAAATATTTTTAAAATCACTTCAATAAATGGAACATAATAAATGTTTTTTATATTTATTTTTGGTAGTGAAATATATGTACTTCTAGGAATAAAACATAATAATCAAATGTTTTATGAGTAAATATTGTGAGTCTCTTGAACTTATTTTATTCATGAATTTCAAGTAATAAATATATTTGATATAATCATGAATATCACATAAAACATAGAATAGTAAATTAATAATAACCATATTATATATTGCAAAAAGATATAATAAATAATATATAAAAATAGAGGTATAATTACTTAGTTCAGTATTCGATCGTCAATTAAGTGTTGAATGTATTTATCTAGTAGTATATGTTGATGATATTGTACTTACTGACAATGATTGTCATGACATCTCATAAGTGAAACAATATCTTTATCACAACTTTTAAACCAAAGACCTTAGCAAATTCAAGTATTTCTTGGGAATTAATGTAACACAATCCAACAATGAAATTATTATTTCTCAAATAAAGTATGTTTTAGTTATTTTGAAAGAAATTGAGTTAATGAATTTAAAGTTTGCTGATACACCCATAAATCCCAATGTTAAACTCTTACCTAATTAAAAGGAATCACTCTCAAATCCCGAGAAATAAAAATTTAGAAAGTTGAACTATCTCACCGTTGCTCATCTTAACATCTCTTTCACATTTAGTATGGTCAGTTAATTTCTTAATTCTCCATTTGCATATCATTGAATTGTTGTCCTAGAAAATATTTATTATATAAATACAATAATTACATTAAAGTTGTATGTTATTCAAATGTTGATTAGGGAGACCCTTCGCCAAATAAGAGATTCACTTCAGAATATAATATTATCATTGGGGATAATTTAATCTCTTGGAAGAATAAGAAACAAAATGTTGTAAGATCATTTAATGCACAAGTCGAAGTTAAAATGATGACCTTAATATTTTATATATCATTTGATTTAAGCAATTAGTTATAGAATTCCTATTTGAAAATGTCACTCAAATGATAACTATATATGACAATCAAGTCCCTCTTCATATTATATCAAATCTCATTTTTCTTGAAAGAATCAAACATATTTAAATTAAAGGTTACTGGCACATATTTAAATGAAAATATTAGATATAATAGGCTTAGACCTACCTTTTTATTTTATTATCCTGTATTTTTCATGTATATAGAGAGATAACCATGTGTTTAATATACATTAAGAATTCAACCTAACTTCTCTTATTTCAAAAATTATTATTTATTTCATTGTTAATAATATAAAAATAATATTATTAATTATAATAATATAAAAATTAAAAATCATTTTAAATAATAAATTATATAAAATGCAAGTAGTTGGCATTTGCAATGCATTAACTCATGTTTGTCTCTCAAAAAATCTTCTCAATATCCAAGTAGTTGATGCTACCGGATTATTTTGTCCCCACTGTATGTCCAACACAACTGAAAACCAAGACATTCCCACTCAATAACACATTTACAACTTGCCTGCCAAGAAACAGTCACAAAAATTTCAACATAAGCCCTTACTTATTGGAATTCAATAACATTATATTTTACCAGCACAATCAAAGAAAAATCCAACTTTGCAAAAATATATACCATAAGTTGTGCTTCAGCTAGGTATGACGATGAGTTTAGTTAGTAAGGTTCCAGATGATGAAGCTGACGGAGGTGGTGCACTGGAATTTGTGCTGCATGATAGTTTAAAAGGGAAATATGAAATATAAAGATGTCAGCAGAGCTTCATGAGTGATCCACACCGAACTAAGAATTCCATTCGGTAACATAATCAAGAGTTAAAAAGGCCAAAGTAATAAAAGGAGATGATTGAAATTTACTAACTGTAATTAAAAAGCTGACCGTACAGTGACTCAGACGTTCTTTGAAGATATCAATCATATTCATACTCGTATAAAGAAAATTTTACAACTTTTACGGTACTCCTTTCAAACTCTCCACTTAGCAAACAAATTTCTAACCATGAAAGGTCAGAACAGGAGAAATTATGCGATGCTAAGGAACAATACTATCAGTAAGCAGCACCAATAAAAAACACGAGTCTGCTAGCAAAAACAAGACAATGGAATTGCATGTAGAGGGAAGTGATTCTTAGGCTACTCAGGTTATACCAAAAATTCATACAAGGTTAGAGGCATTTGAGAGATGAACTGGAGTCATTGTAAAACAAATTCCTGGAACCATGTTAAGAAGGGCTCGTGCTATTTTCTAAGATAAATTTGAGTTTCAGTTTAATCAAAATGAAAATAAAAGAAAAATAATTATGTGGACTTCACTTGAGCTATTAAATTAAAGATTCGAGAGATCTCTGAAATAAATATGATGAAATGACTAACAATTCAACAATTTTCAAAGCTGAAGCTACAGAACATAACCATAACAAATATCATAGAAAATAATACATATCTTTTGGAACAATGATCAGTAACAGAAAGGCTATCTAACATTGAGAAGCATGAGAAGTACTTCCAAAGAAGGGGAATTTTCAGACATATGAATTGCGACACCAAATTTGGTAAACAATAAAAAAAAGAAATGGTGAAAAAAAAAATCAAGAATTGAAATGCAAAATCAGAACTCGCATTGCTACCCTTTCCATGCGTGGTAAACTATCAAATCAGCAGAAGCTGAACCATATCCAACAACAGACCAAGCAACAAGCATTAAATCAAATTGCTGATCCTGAACAATTTAAAGTAGAGAAAATTTGGAGATTAGATTCAACAAAAGTAGCAACATCTCCAATCTCCAAAATGAGTGCTTGGTTTCCGTGTTCCAGTTGCTCAATTCTGTCCATTGCAAGTGGTGGCGATTGAAGGTCACAGAACATTCCCCATTTTTCTCTCAACATGCAACCATATCATCTCATGACTCCTTCACTCTTCTTTGGCTTTGACTTGGTGACAATTTCACCCAGACCACAAAATCCCATCTTCCTCTCCTTTCATTTTTTATCCTCAAAAGTCCCTACAATCAATGCTGGTCGCCCACAACTCAAAGGATTAGGACTAGGATTCTTCACTTCCAATTTTAAAACTTTTCAAAATTTTATTCAGGAACCCAATAACAAATTTTGCAATAACATGTATTAAGTAACAGTAATAATCTCAATCAATCATTCATTAAAAAATGTATCTAATAGCTAAAACCTTACAAATTTCATTCAGTGACCAAATAGCAAATTTCATTAAACCACCGGTTAAAAGCTAACTCAATGTAGACCACCAAATTGATATAATAAATAGACAATACCGTAGTTAACTTTTAACAATGTATACTAGAACAAAGTGGGAAAAATTAAAAACAAGACACCTATTCAATTAATATCCATCTTCTACATAACATTACGAAAAAACCATCAGATGGACAGTAGGAAACGGTTAGAGAGGTTTATTTATGGTATAGTACCTGGAGAGATTTTTTATAACCATAAACAAATTAGTACAGATAAAGTAAACAGTAAGAATAGTTAGGTATGCCACAAATATAATTTCCCTATGTAAGAATACAATGCTATTGTGCTAACTACTTACTCTCAATTTAAAGGTCGACCTTTTTCGCCATGATACTTTCGGTCTTTGTGTGAGCGTACATTTTTAACAGACAAAAATTTAGTGAATATTTGACTAAAGTACATATTCTTCCATGTATAATGAACTGTAGTTTCTTTAATACATCTAGTAATCCTAGATGAGATCTGCAATCCAGCCAAGGAAAGGCCAACTCTTTCTTCTTTTTTTTATGTGTTAATTTTTTGGTCCATTTTTGGATTTTTGTCAGATACATTTAAAGGGCCAGTTACTCACACCAAGGATCATTGTCTTAGGATCCTCAAATGCAGCTCTCAAGCTTATCATCCTTTTCTAATTGTAAAACTAGCAAAATCTCAATGTTTCAACGTCAAAATGATATATAAATGGTTTGGACTCATCATCCATGTGACCAGTGAGATATGAAAGGCATTTATTAACCAATTCTAGATGCATGTTGGAATTGTCTTCGACAAAAAATGGCAGGATCTTTTGGTTAATCTCAATCCAACTACACCCTGGATTTTTCTTTAATCCAAGCTCCTTCATCTTTGATCTCACCTTCCGTACCTCATCCCATTTATGTGCAGAAGCATACATATTTGACAAGAGAATATAGGTTGATGAATCATCAGGATCCTTATCAATGAGAATTCTTGCAATTTCAACTCCCAAATCCATATTTCTGTGTAAACGGCAAGCAGAAAATAATGTGCTTAACAACCCAACATCATCCCTGATTTCAGGGTTTCTTTGCAGAATCTCATATGCTTCATGCAATCTTCCAGCACGTCCAAGAAGATCAATCAAGCATGAATAATGTTCAACTCTAGGTTTAATGCCATAAACATTTATCATTTGATTAAAGTAATAGCATCCTTCATCAACTAACCCAGTATGACCACAGGCAGATAATATACCAAGAAAAGAAACCCTATCAGGCTCTATATTGGACTGTAGCATTTCAGTAAAAAGCTCCAAAGCTTCATAGGCCTGACCATGGGAGCCACAAGCAGTAATCATTGAAGTCCAGGACACCAGATCTCTTTCTGGCAAACATTTGAAAACACCAAATGCTTCATCTACAGCACCGCACTTTGCATACATATCCAGGAGAGCTCCCATAACCACTTCATTGTTGTCCAACTTTTTCTCCATAATCAGATTATGAATCTCTTTTCCTTTCTCTAGTGCTGCTAGTTGAGAACAAGCTGCTAAAACACTGGTAAAAGTAATAGCATCTGGTTCAACATAAGATTTTCTCAGTTCACTAAAGAGGCCAAGGGCTTCAAAATGTTTCCCTTCAGCCACATATCCAGAAATCATGACATTCCAAGAAACTACCTTAGATTTTGGTATTAGTTTAAAGATGTTTTCTGCTAATCCTCCCCTTCCACATTTGAAGTATAGATCCATGAGTGAACTACTAATAAAAACATCTGGCTGTATTCTGTTTCGTATTATATATCCATGTATAAACTTTCCTTCTAGTAGTCGAGCTGAACGTGAACAAACCACTATTAAACTACTTAAAGTAGTCAAAGTTGGCTTGACTCCTTCATCGCACATCCTCTTTAGAAGTTGAATGCATGATATGCTGTCACCTTTCAAACCATATCCACTGATCATGGAATTCCAAGCAACAGCAGTCTTCTTAGGCATCTGCTCAAAAACCTCAATAGCCTGTTCTAGTTGACCACATTTTCCATACATGTCAACAAGAGCAGAGTTAATGAAACTGTCCATCAAAGATCCACTATTGATCAACTCTATATGAATTTCCATTCCCCTGTTCAAATCCAAAAGTCTAGCGCAAGAGGAAATAGCAGTTGTGAGTGTAACTGAATCAGGCTCAAATCCAAATTTTCTCATCATCCCAAAATATTGTAGGGCCTCTTTGAAGTTTCCACTTTGGTAAGAACAAGAAATTACTGTATTCCAGCATGCCACATCCTTCTCAGGCATTTCATTCCACAGCCGTATGGCTTTCTCAAATGCATTGCATTTTGCATACATACCCACAAGAGAGCTTCCAACAACAATGTCCATCATTAAACCAGTTTTTATCAAACGTGTATGGATCATTTTTCCCAACACAAATCTACACAGCCCCCCACAAGCCTTAATAACACTAGGATAAGTGTAACTATCAGGTTTCAGGTAAGGGTAATGTAACAACTTCTCAAAAAGCTCTAGGGCTTCCACATACATGTAATTCTTTGTGTAGCCTGTAATCAAGCCATTCCACAAGGATATCTCGCATGGGTTTTCCATGGTATCAAAAACACACTTTGCATGATCATTCAAATGACACGAGAGATATAGGTTAATTAGGTTCTTGCATAAGTAAATATCATTTTGCAAGCCCAATGTTACCACTTTCTGATGAATGAGTCTGCCTTCCTTCAGTGACTTGGAATTCTTACAAGCTCTCAAAAGGGGTAGTAGTTTTCTAGTGTCCATTCAGCAATTACCAGACACTACACAAAAACCATAATCATCAATCTAAAGCAAGGGAACAAAACAGAAAACAAAAACTCATACAAAAAGGTGGCAGATTCAATATGTTGAATGCACACTAACTTATAAACAGCTGAAGGCACAAAACATGAGGTGGAACACAGGCAAAGCCACGAAGGCACAAAAGCTACTGCAAGTTGAACCTTTTAACCAAAGTCATTTTCATGTCATTGTATCACCCCCACTTTTCTAAATTTGGGATTTTCAGTAAGAAATCTCCAAGTTTGAGTAGAAGGTTCACAGAACTGGTTACGAAAACAAGATTAATATGCTTGATTTGGTTTCTGCTGCAAATTTTCCTCAGTGCTTTAAATGTGTGACTATAACAATTCTAGCCATTGGGATCAACTTTGGTTCAGCCATAAGTGGTGGCCAAATTCAATGCCCTTCTAAGATTTTCTTTTTCCCCAGGAAGGTTTAAAATTCTTCTAAAGTGACAAAGTGAGGATACGACTCTAAACATTCACTTTAGATGAGTAAATTGTTTTGAGGATGATATTTATGTTTTTGGTCTTTTATTATTTTCCAAAAAATACATTTAATGGTTTTTAATCATTAAAAACACTAGTCTTTTATTACTTGTCACTTATAATGTTTGCTATAGACTCTTAAATATTTTGGCAAAATTAATAATTGAAATTGAAGTTTAAGATTACGCTTTAGTTTAGCCTGTTTAATCTATTTTGTTATAATGTTTTACTACCCATCACTTTTCTTTAATTATATTATAATGAAGTGCCTTATGTGACTCTTACACAACTTTAACAGCATTGAAACAACATCTTTGAAGAGATCATTTTAGTAAGGTGTCTTATTATTTTCCAAAAAATACATTTAATGGTTTTTAATTATTAACCCTTAAATATTTTGGCAAAATTAATAATAGGGTTCCATATCCAAGCAACACACGGACATAGCAAAACCCGAGCCAAATGTCCTTAATCTGAACTAGTCCAAACCAACATCTCAATTCAAAATAGTTAGGCCAGCAAACAAAACGTAATAATAGGGTTCCATATCCGAGCAATTCAAGCCAAATGCAATAACAAAAAAATCAGATAGGATGCAAAGACACGAATCAAAGCAGAAATGGAGGAAACTGGGAAAAGGGAAAGTGTAGGCAAACCCTTGTGGCGAGCGGGGTTGCGCTTGGATTGAGGGCTTGAGATGCCTCGCTCGGTGCGGTGGTTCAAAGGTGGCACGGTGTGGTGGGTTGCGATAGAAGTGGCTAAGACCCGCGGTGGTCACGGGTTCGAGATTGGTGGGGCGAGCTCGAGCATGCGGTTTAGGTGGCTCTGGTGAGGGGATTGAGGGCGTGTGTGGTGGCTCACGAAAATGGGGGTGGATTGGCCGAGGGAGAAAGCTGAGCAGGATTCGAGCTCACGGTCCGCGGCGAAGGAGGGCTTGGATGGTGGTGGTGGCTCATGGCGCGGTGGTTGCCGAAAAAAGGTGGGAATGACTCTGATTAGCTACGGTGGAGGGTGAGGAAGTGGGTGTGAGCCGCGGTTAGTGGTAGTCAATGTAGAGGATGAGGGAGTTGATTGGGGGGCTCAGTTGGGTTGAGATAGGAATGAGGGGTTGTGGAGGAGAGATTGGAGCGAGTGAGATTTGGCCGGTGATTTTAGAAGGTGATGTAATGTTATTTTTTATGGTGGACTTGGTTGTGTGGTCTAGTTAAAGTGGTCAGCCATAGGATAAATCTAGATGAAGATGATAATGAGCCTCATTTGAAACTTATATTTTAAAACATTTCTTAATAATAATAATAATAATAATAAGGTTAAATAGGTAATTTAGTCCTTTATTCATTAAAATGTTTTAATGTGGTCTCAAAATTTTTAATTTAAACATGAATATTGAAATTAATATCAATTTTGAATTACCATTATTTATAATTTGACTCTGTTATATTAGATATCTAGTTAGATTATCAATTCCGATGTGATTAGGTGATTGATTGTAATGTCACATTAAAATTGTAAGAAGAAAGGAACAGATGTTACAAATATATTTAGGATTAAAATTGTAAGAAGAAAGGAACAGAGGTTATAAATATATTTAGGATTTAAACAATTGAAAGTTCATGCAAACGAGTGAGAGAAAGTAAAAACATATAAAAGAGGTCAAAATTACCACAGTGAAATTATTGGGGAATCAACATATAGTAGCTTTTGATTGCCAAAATAGTTCAGCACATCCTCACAAATAAAACTCGCATATTAAAGTGTAAAGTGTAAAAATTATACACAAATAAAAAAAATTAAGAAATTAAGATAAAAAATAAAATTATAAAGAAATATTTTAGATATGAAACTAGAAAGAGAAATGATGGGTTGCAATAACTGCCAGCCTAATCGAATTAAAAAAAATAAATTGATTTGACCCACTTAGCATACCAATGTATATAAAACAAAAGTTATGAAGCTAAATAATGAGGGATAAAAAGGCCCTTGACATCATTCACTATGGACAATAGTTTAAAAAAAATAAAATATCACTTCGTAGCTCAGAACACATACTGGACAATTTTGAAGAAGGCCATGGTACTTGAATTTTGACCATGGACCCTTCATATTCAAAATCAACTTCTTTCCTTCTTTAAATTGACATGTATTATTTATTTTTCCTTCTTTAAAAAATAATGGATCTAATGATGTTTTTTGTCCTAATAGATCCTCAAACAGTTTCTTGTAGAAGAGATTAAGGGTGGTCCTGTACATTCCCTCACAGTTGGCTGATTAGGTTTGGAAACCCCAGTTTAGTTGTATTGTACACATAGACCAACATGGGTCCCCTTATCTTAGTCAATCTTTTGAGTCCACTAGTCAAGATTTCTCAGCAATTAATGGAAGACAGAAAAAACATTTAAGGAGTGATTTGGAAATGGTAGGATTGTGTTTTGACAATTCAAACCAAGAAGAGCTTTGAGTACTTGAAATTTAAGAGTTTTCTGAAAGTGTTTCAATACATTAAGCAGAAGATAGATTATGTATGGAGGCATGAACAGCCAAAAATTTGAGCTCTTTGAGAAATTGACATCGATTGGATAAAAAGAAACTTGATCTGACCCACTTATGCCATCAATACATTTTTCTAGAGTCAAACATTATGCAAAGATATAGTATTAAAAAGAAACTTTGCCTTATTCTAGAGTCAAACATTATGCAAAGATATAGTCTGTTCTGTGTTACACTTTCTGTCACATCATCATTGCAAGGGTTTCCACCTCTTAGTTTGTTGCTACTTCTGTCAAAACACAGTCTTGGATGACAGTTAAAACCAGTGGCAAAGGAAAACACCTTAAACATGATAACTGATACATTCTCTTTCAAACTTTGTTTGCTTCAAACAGTTTCGGTCCTATGATTTCGTTGAATTATTCTTTAATCTTTTTCTAAGCTATCTTGCATAGCAAAATACATAAAAATGGGATAAATTGTGCAGAAGTTGAAACCTGAAGAAGATGATCATCAAATTATAAAACTAGTGGGGCTTTTTCTTTGTTCCCAATTAAAATCAATCCGTTTCTTAATTTAAGTTATTGTTTAGACAAAATGGTACATTCTTAAAGTGAACATATTCATCAATATACTGGCAAAAGACCCTGATATTATCACATTATATTACTTATATTATTTATTTAATTCGACATTGATGGACTAATTTGTAGTCAAAGATTTAGGATTTCTTAGGTTAAGAAAGAATCTTATTATTTGGATTAGAATTCGATCACCTCTAACTAGATTTTTAACATCACAGAATTAAAACATAAATAATAAATAACGATAGTCTAAAATTCATATAATTTTAATATTCATACCTAAATTAAAAATTTTAAAAATTTTGAAATCATCTTGAAATATTTTAATAAATAAAGAAACCAAATTATCTATTTAACTTTTTTTTTTTAAGAAATTTCGGTTGAAGATTTTATAGTAGTTACTTTTTATCTATTGATGAGGATTTTTTTACAGCGAGACCACTAGTATTATTTAGTAGTAATATTTTGTATATATATATGGTGATAATTAAAATACTTAATTTAAATACAAAATAAATAAAATCTATCAAATTAGGATTATCTTATCCAAATAAGATATTTAAAAATTAAATAATTTTAATTTAATATATTTGAATCTGATATTTTAGTTGCAATTACTTTATTTAATGGAAAAATAAAGATTTTTTTTATTCAGGTTAAAAAAATGTTAGAATGATATACACGACAATATTTGTTATGAAATGATCCTCAACTTCTTTTCACTAACGGTTTAAAGGTGGTCATAGGTGATGTTATCTAAAACGATTTATCTTAATATTAAAAAGTAAAAACAATTATTTAAATTAAAAAAATCAACCATAAAATAAAAATTCAAATATTTTATGAAAATAAAAATAATTATTTTAAATTTTATAAAATAAAAAAATCATAGAGGAAGAAAACAAAATGTATTGATTTTATAGCAACTAAAATTGTATTTAATTTTATTAAAAAATATTTTAAGATGTATTTTTAATGGATTCTTAACTTATTTGTGTTGTAAAAAGTCTTAATTCATTATATAAAAGTTAAATTTTAAAGTGTAATTTTTCATATCTCATACAAGAGGTTAAATTTTACTTTTTAAAAAAAATTACAATTAATTATATGTGCCTCATTAGGAGTTTATGATATAAGTTTCTTTCTACATAAATATTAAGAGCAGAATTTTGTTGAGTAAAAAACAATTGGAACCGTCGAACAATGGCTTAGAATGAAAAATGAACCGATTAAATTGTAGTGTACAGTATAATTCAATTATAAATAAAAACCAATATGCTTAATCTATGTATATTGAATAATCTCAAAAATATTTGTTAAGTTTAGGTCAGCATTTTAATTACGAACAAGAATAACACAAGAATAAAAAATCAAAATATAAAAGAGATTGAATTGATAGGAC